GTCTAAGCTTCATATTATCCTACAGTCTTCTGCTCAAAGCCCAGAAATATTTAATCTCTACTCAGTCATATCTGATATGATATATCCCAGTTTTTCTTTACTCAACTGACCTAGACAGAAAGTCTCCACCGGATGCACACAGTACTCAGAGAATCTCATCTTTATGGCTTGGGTTAGTATATAAACCCTATAACAGAAAACTTGTCATTAAAGTGCAGAAATAGTTTCCCCTTAAAAGTGAAATGCATGCCTTTCAAAACAAAAGTTTCCCAAAAATGATGCAACATGATAATCAGCACCTTCCTCACCCTTTTCTTCTTTTCGTATAACATGTCGTAGACAATCATCACTACTTTCTAACTGTATTGTGCATCTTTGCTCACTTCCCCCAAACTCTATTCTCTCATCTTGTCCATGTTTCAAACCTCTGAACAGCTGCTTTTAGTCACCGCTTGTAATAGCGATACATTTCCACCTTCATCTCCTGGGCAAAACATGTTTTACAAACTTCATGTCTTACTACCTGATTAGAGAATTTCAGCCTTCCACTCTCCTTTCAATCATTAAAAAACAAACAAACAAACAAAGCCCCTACACACTCCTTTTTCCAAGGCTACTTCAGCATCTTTATCTAAACATTGCATTACTAAAGACAAGAATGCTTGAACAACAGTTCTAGGAACAGAGGTCAGAGGCCAGGACTCCGCTCACCAACAGGCAGCAGAGTCAGGTCCTCCTCTTCCCCTTCAACCAACGCATTGCTGACTTCTCAGCCTCAAAGCATAGAGAGTGCCTCCATCCCAACACTGCCGTCATCCTGCAGAGTAACATAATTTTCCCATGGGAAATGCTCTATTACGTTAAACCCCATTGAGTTGAAGAGGCCCCACAATCAAAGAGGAAGCAATTTCTGGACAGCAGCTCTAAGCAGCTGGCTGCTGAGCAGTAAGACGATTGCTGCTGCCACATCTGCAGCAAGGCTCCAGGAGGCAAGGCTGCGCTTTGTTGGCACCCTGCCTAGGATCCTGCTCGAGAATCACACCAAGCTGAGCAAAACTTGAGCGCTGGCAACCAGAGTTTTCATGGACTGCTAAATTAACATCAGGCACATACAGGAATTGACCCTGATTCACAGAGAACATTATTTAAAGTTATTTAGGATTACATGCACCTTCCCCACCCCCCTCCATATTATTAAAAAAAAAAAAACAATCAATACTTAGATTGCTTTAAATTACACTTTAAAATAGTCAGTTGATGTAATCTACAGACTACATCCTGCATGTATGGAAAACCAAGCCATTAGAGACTAACCTACATGCGGTTCAAAAAGCAATTTAACTACATCAGTTAAATTTAGAAACTGATTTAGTTAATCATTGTAGATAACCAAGACTTAAACCTCATCTTCAAACAGATCCCTACACACTGACTGCACAATTCAGTAGGGAAATTACTACAATGCCAATCACAGTCACAGATAAAATCCAGATAAGAGGCCAATGACAGTGTTTAGTTGCAGTATCGAAGCGGCATTGAATTGCCCAAGTAGCTTCAGACAGTCATAATAAAGAATATTTCTGTATGCGTTTATACTGCTGTTTTGAAAAGGATGGGCATACGAAATCTCTCACTGCACAGATGCCAGATTTACCAAATCACTCCTCCTTGTGTACTACCATCAATTCCATTTCGTCAGGCTGCAACTGAAAAATACAAAGTCACTCAACTCCAAGCCTCAAAATTAAATGCAGACTGAATAGAGTTCTCATCCAATACAGCCAATAGTTGAACTCAAATACTCGGTCTCTTTAATACGAAAAATCAGACAGGAAACAGCAAAGCACGCTCAAGGAAAACGCATGCACCTCTCAAATAAGACTAGAATCAGAGATCAGTCTTCTCTGTCAAGTTTTGAGTCAGTCTCTCCCAAAAGTAGCTACACCGCATTTTGACTTTACTACTTGTAAAATGCAAGGATCCTGGGATACTTTCTCTCTCATATGGCTTTTATTTTTTTAAACCAGAACATCATTTGGGATACCTGTCCTGCTTATTCCACCCGCTCCTATGAAATCAGTGCTCTTCAGCTTTTGGATGGCCGAATAGTCCAAAAGCCTCCTACCATTCTCTAGAAGCCTATTTCTCTCTCCTACCTTACCTTTCTTTCATATCTATTCTCTTCAGTTCTGAAAGGCTTCTCCACCCTTCCGGGAAAATCTAAACTTTAGTCCTCAGAAGAAAACGTGAAGGGAATGTTTCTTAATTGTTTGTTTTAAATCATGGGTGCAAGCTAATGAATTATTCTATGTACCTGCCAGCCACTAAGGATACAGGTTATATGACTAAACAGTCACATAACACAGGCAAAAAGTCTACAAATAAATTTGGCTTAACCATGACTAAAGATATCTAATTTGCTTTCATTACAGAAATATTTCTAAAGACTGGAACAGTTTTATCCACGCAGCCACCACAAATTTAGCTTTAACTGAATATGCAACATTTGGCTCTACAGGTAGAGCCAAACTAACTGCAATCATGCGTTCCTTCAAATTGCTTATGTGATGACAAAGGAGTTTTTCAGCCAGTCTAATACATTGACGTTCCAGGTTGGTAAACATCAGGGTGATTTTCCAAGCCCTATATTTGATGTTTCTTTCTTGACTACACGCTCTCTACCGTTCTTTGAGGTAGACGTTTGTTGTCTAGTATTGTACAGTTACAATAAAGGTTTAGAAAGAGTAGTGCATATGACATACGTAAGACTGTATATTAAGGAATTAGTAATGTCATATTCATATATACCAAAACAGACCAAGATATCCAGAGAAACAAAAAAAGATTAGGCACAATTATAATCCAAGTGACACAGATAAGGGCTTGATTTAAAATGAAAATGATTTAACATACATGCATAGTAGAACAATTAAGTCAACAAATTATTTTATTATTATTATTTATCTGAAATGCTTCAAAGGAGAAATTAAAATAAAATCAGATTATTTTCTGTAGACTATAGTAATTAATTTGAATACAGGTTTGTCATTTTATTGACCAGGTAGTTTCCAAATTGTGTCATATTAGAACATTTGTGATACATGAATGATCAGTATTCAACTAAGAGTTACAATTTATTATGTTTACTACAATTAGTTTTTAATGTTCTTTTTTACCTTTCCATCTAGTGCATCACTTTGAAGGGAATACTGCAACAAAGCTCATTCTCTAAGATTCCATTTCTGAGTTGTTTTTTTTTTTTTTTTAAAAGACAACGAAATATTTCTGTACATCATTGCTTGCAACCCAGTTTCATCAAGGAGAAAAGCTAGTAAATACAGTGTTATGTGATCAAGGGTTAATCACAATAAACACTACGTCTTGGCAAGGAGCAGAGGAACCCCAATAACCTCATGAGGGACATAAGTGCACCCAGACTCAGCTGCTCTCAGGACTATCACAGAAGACCAGGGTATGTCTGTATTTCCCTAGAGAACTTCAATCCTCTGAGCATGTTTTTAATTTGCTAGTGAACTTCAAGCCTGGCTATCTAGCTATGTAGACAACAGTCAAGTTATCTTACTATTTAACTATATACATATACACACATACAAGAGCAAATGAGTTTTCTTCCATCCTTTTCCTTCTAAAGCTGTTGCCCACATGACTCTTCATGTGCTATACTGCTTCCTCACACCTTCCCCCTCAAAATAAAGTTTCTTTCAGCATGCCCACAAAAACAGATACTTGACATTGTAGATACAACCACATACAGAAGAGTTTTCCAGAATTCCTTTCTTTTGCTTTTTTCCTAATTTAGGCTTCAACTACTTTCAGGACATATGTTGATTTGCTATCGGAATATCATCAAGCATATGAGCAGAACTCAAAACCAAAATAACCACACATGAATTTTTAAGACAGCTTAGGGGACAGAATGTGCCAAAGAGGTCATAGCCAAGGTCAGCTCTCGAAACACAGACAAAGACAACAGTATCCTAAGGCAGTACTGCATACTTTGCTTATTTCGGAGACCTTGAAAGTAAGGCTGGCTGCTGTTGCTGCCAAGGAAGGCACCGTAGTGCAGTGAAGGAGGAAAGCAGTCCCTCCTACAAGTAGCTAATACCACTTTTTAACCTTCTCATTCTCTCAGGAGCAAGAACAGTAAACCTGCTCTCCAGGTTCTCCCCATGCTCACAAGTTTTCTCTCCTTTCCACTGCAGAAGCAGACAAGATCTAGCCCTTTATCTTCAGGGGAAGAAAAAAGCAAAAAACAAAAATTTACTAATGCTAACTAAATTGTCTGAACTCCCATTAATACCATGCAATGCACGTCTTTTGTCACATGATGATGGAAGCACTACATAGCTGTTCTCACTCTCCTACCAAGACAACAGCTATTCTCCCATCTACAAATCTCTGGTGTGCGTGTGGCAGCACAGTGGAAAGAGGGACTGGCAGAGGGAAAACTTTCCCACAAAAAGCTTCTTCCTAATCACTGATTTAATATCAATAAATGTAAGAAGTATAACTGATAATAAGAGATTTGAAGCAAAATGTCAAACATGTAACCTCAGCAGATTGAGTTCAAATCTCTCTCTAAGGAGAGATGTCAGCAAAGTACAGATTACACAGGGCAAAAGTAATTAACAGATGCAGATTTTAATCCAGTATATTATGAACATCCAGGAATAAAACAAATTTATTTCTGTTTTCCGCACAATAAGATTAGCGTTTAAATGGATAGTGGTTTCCTGGTCTAGCAGAGATTTTGACATTCGTTTCAGGGCCTAACATAGCAAATTTTCAACTTCAGAGAAATAGAATTCTCCTTCCAAATCCTAACTCAAAACCTTCTAGACAGTTTCCAAACTTTATCATTTAGTCTTCAGTTTAGGGACTTAAAATTTTTTTTCAAAGTTATTCGTGATAGATTCCCAAACATGAACTAAACGACAAAGTATGTGCAATAAGAATAAGGGTTCCCTTGAACAACTTACCATTAAAAAAAAGGGGGGGAGGTGAGAATATCCTTCCTGTTTACAAGTGTGAGAAGACAGCTGTTCTGTAACTTGCCAGCACACTCAGGTGGCCGTATCTGCAAACAGAAAGACAAAATCATCAATATAGAATTTTCAGCTTCGCTCTTCAATAACAGAATGATGAACTGACGAAATGCATTAAAAAAAAAAAATAGGATCAGGGACCAGTTAAAAGAAAAAAAAATACTAAAAACATGCATGAGTTTCTACACACACTTTTAACTGTTTTGAGACGGACGTTAATACTGTGTCAGAGCTTAATTATAGTTTTTCAAGACAAGCAAGAAGCTTATGTAATTTTAAGTTAATGCACCTGCTTTTAACTGGAAATATCTGCAGATAAGGTAACAGTCACCCACTTAAAAACTGCGGGGAGGGGAAAACATAAGAAAATGGCCTATAGTAAAGCATAATAAAGCATCAGGTTTGAGTCGCACTGAGATACTTCACAATAGATCAAGTATAACTAAATATCACGAAACAAATCCACTAAAAAAGCAAATAGAATCTCTGGCAAAAATCAAGTATTGAGACAAGTCTCCACAAAAATATTACAGCTCTTAGCTGTAACATTTCTAATCCAGAGAATAATTATTTTTAGAGATGAACATTTAGTCATATACTGTTTTATAAACAAAGTCCTTGCAGTAGTTTTAAATACAGCAGTCCTTTCCGCAAAAATCTGCGGGAAGATCATCTCCAAAATACATCCTGTTTGACCGAGACAGACTTAACAGTACAGCCACATTTTAAAAGGCTGCAGCTATGCCTTGACATGACATGATTAGAGCCTACTTTAGTTGATACAAATTTACAAGAGAAGTTTAAAAAAAAAAAACCACACCACTCTGCTACTGCAAGGACAAATTTATTAAACAGGCTCTAAAACACAGTCAAAGCATCTAGAAGAATAAGACACTTCTTTAAAGTCACCACACACAGACTTCTCAAAGGAAAACATCAGGGTCCTAAACAACACCTCTTGGCAGCCGTCCCCACTCTCCCTAAATTTCCTTTATGGTCCATCAGAAGACTAGGACTCCAGCAAGACAGTGCCCCCGAGCCAACTCCAGAAAGCCTTGGTGCAGTCGTCACCTATCCCAAGCATAATATTACCCTCCAATTAGTTTGCTACCAAGCTTTACCAGTTAGCCAAGCTCTTTCTCACTTAGACGCTTACACAGAGTATCATTAAGGAATACGTTAAGAGGCTCAGGCACATAGTTCATTCATACTCAGTGGTCTGCCTATCCTATCACCAGGACAGGTGCACTGTGCAAGGAAGAAGGCGTCTTCCAAATGCAGCTTTCCAATGCTGACTAAAATTATGTCAGGCACGATCCTATTAACGTAAGTGATTTGAATCAAGGCTCTGATTTCTTCAGTCATACCTGCGGCTCAAGAGGCAGTAAATATACTTCAGGACAATTAGTACTGTATCAAAAACGCTATAAAATAGATATCATACAGCATGAAGCTAGTACAAGGGGACTGGAACCTTATAAAGAACTCAAACACTTAGTAGCATGCTATCAGGAGGCTGAGGATATATTTACATGTTACATTCATCTTGGTAGCAAAGGCAGCTCACGAGTTTCTCAGTTCACCACCTCCATCAACTACATAAACACAACTGGAGTGCTGCACTAGACAACAGCTGTCCTTGATGTACAGGATCACTGAATCTATCCTGTGATGAAGAAACTGCAGAAGCGACACTTACTCTTAACTCAGATCACTACAACGAACAACCTGCACAGGGACGCGGAGAGGACAGGAATTGCAGCACGGATGAGAATCTTGCACAGTTTTGGTGGTGAAATGAGATTAACCATGTAAGGATTTGTATTGATCGCTGGAATATATGTCAGGGTAGTTAAAGACAGACATCAAGACATAGCCAATATCAAGCAGCTTTATATCTTTGGGTTTTTTAAGTGAAATATTAAATAAAAACCAAGGATAAGCCAGAGAACACAGAGAGGGAATGAAAAGAGAAATGCTGAACTGTCCCACCACATGTTCTATATTTAAGATACACAGCTATGATGAAAAATACATTGCAGATGCATGCAACATGAGATATAAACAAAAATAAAATTTCAGCTCACTGTTAACACCCAAGCACTGCCTATTTATTGACATAACTGAATATACGCATTCCCTTTAGAATAGATTCCTTCCTTCCCGTAAAATCTTCATGAGGAAAGAAACCTCAACAAAAGTCATAATAAATAATTCTCACTTGTTACCTAGTATATCACTGACTCCTCTGCCAAGTGCCCCATTTGACTCATAGTCACTGACTAAACAACAGAAGGGCTGAACACTTTCCACAGGATAACACTGCAGAAAAGCAGAAAGTATAACACTCATGTCTGGTTAAAAATGTATAGCCAGCTGAGTTTTGTTTAAAATCAATGTTTTTAAACTTTCTAAACATGACTCCTAGAAAGGAGATGATATGCAAGCAATTTAATGAATGAGCTATCTGGCATACAGAGGATTACTTCAGAAATCCACAGGGGGGAAAACATACAGGATTTAATGCAAGGCATAACTTTTAGACAGATTGAGGATTAAAAATATCCAAATAGGCATTCTTCATCAAAATAGTGAAAAAAAGGACTTTACTTATTTGAAGGTCTGGTTTCTTACATGGGGGGAGGGTTTTTAAAATGTGGTTTCAGATACGGAGATCCAAAGCTTACTATTGTAGTTTGAATTAAAAATAGTAACTCTTATGCACACAAAAAAAAGAAGCATTTTAAATCTATAATACTGAATTGTCTTGTTCCCTTCATTCAGGGGACATAAAGCTGGAGTCTTTGAAGAGCACAACCATATGCCAATTATTAGTTAGGTCCCACTTGCAATCTTAGGTACTTCTGTAGTGGGACAAGGGGCTTTTGGAAGAACCTCTTCTGTAAAAGGGCCATAAATCAATTACTCAGAACCATGGGGCTTCTTGGTAGTCCCTTCTCAGCAGCTAAAGGGACTGAATCCAGGCTTGGGTAGAGCATCTGCACGGATGGTCTACCTTCCTAAACCTACTGGAAGAACAAAAAGGGGGAGCAGAAACAGTAGTCAGCGTGTCTAAAAGCAGTCAAATTTGGTCTAGTCTGACATCAACTTTCATGGATTGAGCAAGACAGCTAGAAAGTTCCTCACCACTAGACTTGGCCTGTTCTAGATCTCAGGTTTAAACTCTGACATATCACAGTAGCAGGAGCTGCTATGTGTTCCTTTGCACTGCTTTCCAAGTGCTTTTTCATGCAAGATTCTGTTTCTCTTGTCCAGGTCAAGCTCCTCAGAGCTGTGGAGCTCTGAGGCTCCACAGACATGCAGAGATGAGGACTTAGCTAGGGCATACGTCATCCTTGGAGTGCAGAGAGCAGTCTGCCCTCTCCCTAAACTGTTCCAAGCCCTCAAAGGATTACTTCATACTCTGCACCTTTCAGAGAATCACTTTGCTGGTCAGACACTTGGTCACAGCATCCAGGGTGGCTGATCCACCAATTTCTTCCAAACTAGTTTAAGTATCCGCAATTTTTCCTTAAAACATAGGAAGACAATTTAGTGTAAAAATATCCAACTTCTGGAGCACCTGGCAACCTTTTTCTTCATTTTCACTCTTTAGATTATGGTAGAAACATTTACAGTTTGAGTATAGCATTCCTTAACTTTTAGATTGAGGAGATCTGTTTAAACTGGACACCAGAAGACAGCTAAACAGCTTGTGGAATCCACCAGAGGTTAAACTCTCAATCTCCAAAGATTCCACAATCTACAAAAGACAGCCCGGCAAGGCTATGAAACCATCCCATAAGACCCCTGGTATGCCAGATATTCCTGATGTTAAGCATACCAGCATTCATCAGCCCCCAGATGTCACCTCTTTGGTACCTCAATGGTAAGGGACAAGGACAATACGCTCTTACTTACAAGTCCGCACTAATTCTTTGCTGTGAATGAAGCCAAGTCTAACCATAACGCTATACCACAAACAGGAGCATCTTGCAGGTCTTTTACTAGACTAGTACCAATCGCAACAGGCAGGAAGTAGCTCTTTTATCAGCTTAGTTCTAAAAAGAAAGTATTCTCCAATCACTTACAAAAAAATAAACCTAATACCGCTAAGAAGGAACAATTTCAGCTGGGATGTCAATATTAAGATGTTTTCAAACACCTAAAATCTTTACTGGCAGTTATTTACTGTCCCTAAATCTTCACAGGTAAAAATCCAGACCTCACAGTATGAGTTTTCTGTGCTATAGCCTGCTCCTTCTGTCAATACAGCCAGCTTTCTTCTCCAGAGAACCTGTTGTATGTGTCTTTATGGAAAGGCAAAGAGTTCCCCCTAAGGGCCACACTCAGGGCCCAGAGATGTCTCCCTACTGTTCTGCTTAAAAGAGCAGTGCTGGCTTTACACCACAGTGGAGATCCACTTGAGCGACAGCCCTGATGACGATCCTCTTCGGCAGTCTGCTTCTCTGTATTATCAGTTGTTGCCTCTCCATCCAAGTGAGGGCATTACATAGCACAGTTTGTCTGTTAATAAGGTTTTAGAACATGATCCCTAAAATCAAAAAGTCCCATGAAATTCTACTTTCTGGAGCATTCAGCTTCCTACCTTGCAGTTAGCAAATATTGCTGCAAAGCATGAACGTGCAGAGAGACGCTTGGTAGGCATAAGTACCCCAGCCAGAACGGAAAGCTGTGGGATCATTGCAGAAATGAGTCCAAGACTGGCTGGGAAAGACAAGAGCAGAAGCCTTTAAGTTTGAAATCCACCATTAAAGAAGTAATGGATATGGTGACATGAGTAACAGAAAACAGTTAGATATTAGCATACAAAGCAAACAGTAGATTTTTTTCCCCCACCAAAATTAAGATTTTGTTTAGATCAAACTCCTTCGTAAGTAGCAGTGGGTCACGCAGTTGGTTACCCACTGCTGCATAACATTGGAGAGAAGCGGCAGAACACAGGAAGCATGAAGCAGCACAAGACACAGAGCCCCACGGAAAAACATCATGACACGAACGCATGTTCCCCTAAAATGAGATCCCTCGCAAATAAGAACATCAAATGAAACGCAGAAGGCTGCAGAACGACTAAGAAACAAAATGAACAAATCCAAAAAGCAGAACCAATATTTATTTTTCATTTTTAAATATCGTCAGATGTATGAAGAAATGCAGCAGGAAAGGAGGTGGTAACGGTCTTACTACATTGTAACTTTCTTACCACCACCCTAGAAGACAGCCTGCTTCAACTCCATGGAATCAGGATTATGCAGATGGCTACAGGCCGCATCAGGAAAGCGGCTGTTCTCCCTTGCACGCCCCATCCAGGAGCAAGACATTTTTACATCTGCATTTGGCTAAAAGTTACTGCTCATATCACTCCCTGGCTAATTCTCCCATAGTCTGGAAATAAAAGAAGTGGAAAAAACAGAAAAGCATACAGACTTCAGCAACGTTTGGAAAACAGGAGCTAGAACCTTCATCCCAGCAGGCAGAAAAGTTTTCTGCACAAACCTTATAACGGCATTTATCACCAATATGAGTAAACAAGGGAAGAGATCAGAATAAGAAGTATTTTTTCTTCGTTTTAAAAAAAACAAACAATCTCTACTCATTACTTTTCCTCTTTTCTTTATATAAGTGCCTTCTAAAACACATTTTCCTTGATAAAGAAATCTCTGGAAATTCCCTCACTACATTTATTCTACAATTTTGTTAACAGTTTACATCATTATTTAGCACCAAAATTAGTAGAAGACACACTGGAAGACATCTGAAAAGTGTAGAAGTTCTTTGAAATTTTCAACCTGAAAAAGATCTTCATTGTTCTTAAACAGACTTATGCATCATACTGATTAATCAGTAAAGAGCCACCACTTGTAAGATTGTATCCGAACAGAACAAAACGGGTAGTGCCTCATTAGAGTCAATCTATGCGGCTCAATTCAGGGCACTACTGTGTAGAGGAATAAGGTGGAGGGGGGAAGGGAGGGAGGGAGGAAGGAAGAGGAATCAAAGCATTTAACAGGTGAAATATTTGGGTATTTAATTTTTCTTTTTACGCCCTAGCTAGAGAGCTATTCTTGAAAGAGAAATTAGCCCGCTCTAATATTAACTACATGGTTCAAGTTCATCCTCATTTCTCAAGGTTTTTTTTCTTCCTACTACCGTTTTTAAAGGGCTAGATGAACCAGGTTTTTTGTTCATTTCTGTTGGGTCCTTTTTTATTACCAATATTTCTGCTTATTATAAGCCTGTTAAACTAAAGCCATTTTGCATGGATCTATGGCCTCAAGAGCCTCATTGAATGCAGTTCATGAAGATCAAACAAATCACAGAAATTCATGAGTATTTGAGGTGAAGTCCATTTCCTCTTTCAGTAAAATGACTGAAGTGGCTTCATAAGCCATGTATGCTGTTACCATAGATTTTACGGTTTTAATAAAACTCTGTTTTCATAAAGATGAATTTTAAAACTATTTCTGCTTTACACTCCTTAAAGTAGGAGAAGAACAGAAAAGAAACCTTGTGAACTTCATTATCCTAATCACCAAATCCCTCCAGGTTCTCTGATGCTTTCACATCAGCCTCAACCCCAATCAGTTCTCTTCCAAATACTAACCCATGAGATTAGATTTGCCCGTTCCCACTGAGTATCTTCATAATCTCAGTAAATTAAATTTTATCATTGAGGTTACTTGGTACCATTTTCACAACCTGCAGTATTTTCTATTCCATTATCCTCTTCAGTAGTGACAAAGCAGTCCAGGCTGGCATCAAAACCTTTGTGAGTGATTTTCATCTGAAAGCTAGTTTGCTTAAATGCCTAAAAGTTTGTACAAACTTTTAATCTTGCATTTCACTGATGACATTCATGGAAGATACATCACCCAACTACCAACATTAATACTGAGTCCTTATATTCCTCAGGATCCTCTATGTCTAATTATCTTTAAGAACGCACAGTCCAGAAGTGATTTCTTAACCTTTATAGTGTGACTGCCAAGGATTTTATTTTGGAGATTTTGGCATTTTTTTAAATTTTACTTCAGAAGTAAACAAAAGCGTTCTCTTCACGCAATTTTACTTCCTGGCAGGGTCTACAGACAGTATTGTTGAAAAGTTTGTGTAAAGGATATTTACTCCAGATTTCCAAGACAGCACTTGCAAATAATCAGATCCTTGATACAAATCCACGGATGGGGGAGGGAGAGTATTATGATTTAACCCAATCAGAGTTAATTAGTAGGACAATTTTTTTTTAATAAAGAATCTTGTGCCTTCTGTACAAATTGTGAATAATCCACGTACACCAGTCATCCACGTCACCAGCAGGACCAAATGGAGATTTTCATTGACTACATATCCCTCAATACTACCAGCTAACTGCTAACATTTTAAACTTAGAAAAAGCTATCACAGCAAATGCTATTCTTTCATTCCCCACTTTAAGCATTTTTTGCAAGAATAAGTTTTTCAGGTGCCTGTTTCTCCCTATAGACCAGTATTTTAAGTACCCCAAATACCAGAGTAAGCAATTAGTTGCCTCAAATGCATTATTTAAAAAAGAGATTTAAAATAATGGGGAAAAAATTGGACATGACAACAAAGTCTAATGTTCCACCGATGGAAAGAACACCTAAAACGTCCACAACTCTCCTCACAGCTCAACTATTAATATGGTCCCATGTATGCTATCCTATTCTCCCTCAGCTTCTTGCCTATGTCCCTTCCTCAGTCTTCCAACCACTGTAACAATATCCATTTTCAAATCCTGTTCCCAGTGCACATTTTATTCCTCTCGTACGTTTTAAAAAGGACAACAATGTGGATGATTTTCAGGAACTAAATGTAAACCTACACCATGTAAAGATGCAAGACATCCTGACTTTGGAAAAACAGCCTTTAAAAGTTGTTGAAACAGTGACAACTGGCTGCTAAAAGACTTATGCCTTCAAGAAATCCACACTATTTTGTCATTTGAAGAGCAAAAGCCACTCTTTTTACTATTATGCAGATAGGAGCGGAGGCACAGAACGTATCACAAGAAAGTCCCCAAGTATCCAGCGTAATACCATGCCTGCCCAGGCAGCTCAAAAGCTCAAAAGCCAGTGTGTGGCTTATGCTCGGGAATGGAAGCAAGCAGCTATTTTGGTTACTGCTGACCACTCCGCTCTAGGGGAGGGAAGAGTTAGCAGCAAGTCTAGCATAGTTTCAGCTCTATCTCGTCCCATCTCTGTATCTGAGAGCAAAAGCTGCAGGATGCTTCAGAGCTCCACTCCCCAGGCAGGGCCAGAGAGACAGCTGCGACCTCCTGCTTCCTCTTTCTCCCTTGGTTTAACAGCTGCTCAGTGTTGGAGGAAGAGCAGCAGAGGAACAAACGGCTACAAAAAAGAAGGGAGGTTCAATTAAAAGTCTGAAAACTGCTGATATCAACCGTGCTAAGCTTTTGCTCAAAAACACAGGCACGCACAGTGCAGCTATGAGAATGCCAGCACAGGAACTTGTACCAAATTAAGAACTCGATGCTTTATCAAATCTTCAGCCATCTGTCACAAGTGATCTTGGTTTAAGTGTTCAGAAAGTTCCTTCTAGGCCCACTCTGTGACTAAAATGTGGTGAGGTGGTACAACCACCACAGTCATCTGGGCTGACCTCATGTATCACAGAGGCTATAAAATTTCTGGTAAATTCTGCATTGTGACCAATGAACTAAATCAGATTATCCAAGAAGTTATGGAACCTTATTTCAACTTTTTTTTTTTAAAAGCTTTAAGTTAGCATTTCGTAAGGTAAGTACTGTGTCACCTGATCCCACATAATAAATTTTTCTTTTAACATACTGTAGATGCATACTGGCTTCTTATTTTAGCAGTCTTGTTACAGATTCCCACAGGAATTCTACTTTTTTGTTGTTGTTTTTTAAGTTATTGCCCCAAAAGCTTTTAAAATTACATGTTTTCAAATTACTGAAAGCAGAAATAATGGTATTTTCACATAAATGACTGGCAGCACACTTCCTCTTTCACCAGTTTTACTCCTGCTATGCAGGTCTACTTTAGAAAAAACAAAAACTTCCAACCCAGTATCATTAATGATTTTCACTCTCCTTTGACACACAGCAAAGATTCAAGTGCAGCTCCCAGAATTGCAAACAATTAAGCTTTAATTTTCCTCCCTTTACATATTTGGGACATTCATACCAATGGAAACTACAATTGGCATCTAGAAATACTTGTCTGGACGTTTTACTAGTCCACTAACTATATACTTGATGTCTTAAAAACATTTTTTTAAGTGACTTCCAGAAAGTGAGATTTATTCATGCCGCAGGCATACATGAAAGAAAACCGAAGGGAACAAAATGTTCCACTGAGTTCATTTTCAAGCATGACAGTAGCATACAGAGGCTCTGCCCTTGAGAGAGACTTCTGTTCAGGGGTAGCCCATTATCAGGTTAGCCTGTAAATATTAAAAAATCTGCATCAAAGCTACTATTTTAAAAGGGCATCTTGCAACTTTAAAGTGCACTCAAGAAAGGATAACTTAACCTATTACTAGTACAAGCCAACAGACTCATGTCCAAATGTTCAAAAAAACAAGTAATCATCAAGGCTTAGCAGGCAATGGTGGGGGAGGCATCTTTTCAGTAAAAGAGTCAGGGTAACAATAAGCAGTATCCATACAACAATGTTCGAACTAATGAGAATCACTGGAAAACTGAAGTTTTTTACAGTTTGGATCCCAAGACAACTTTCCAGATATAATCATACCAAAGACTAAAATAGTGATATCCTCAAAAAAAAACCCAAACAAATAAAAGCAAACACAAAATAAATAACCCGCTACCCACTAGGAGTAGCCCTCCACTAGTGTCACATTTTTGCTTTGTTCTTCATGCAGATAAATCATGGGTTATTTGTAAGAAAGAAGTTAGCTTGGATTATACAACTAATCAAAGCCCCTTCTCCATCAGTCTCCCTGCATCTCATCTTTACTGGTGAGTCTCCCCTTCTGATTTTGTTCAAGTAATAAACAACTAGTAATGGACATTACCATTTGAATAACGGCAAAATAGTACTGCAATTTGACAGATTTTTGGACAAGTGGGCAATGGGATTCCAGGGGCAAACAAAACTCTCTTCCCCACACCAGCTTCTTGCTATGTATAAAACTGAATTTGCCAGAAGGCAGGTCAGGACTTGTTCTTGTGAAAAAAACCCAAAACAGAGACTACTACACACAGCGGCACTGAAGTGGCAATGGGATCCCGTGCAATACCCATCCCCACAAACAAAAACCTCCCCCCAGCCTTTTTTAAAA